TTTATTTTTGCCAAAAATATTGAGTTTAACATTTTTGTGAAGAGAATATCAACTTCGAGTCGAAGAATTTTATATTTATTTTCAGAATTATTGCAAAATTCACGGAGATTTCAAGATTTTAGCGAGAGCATTGCGTAACACTGAAACAGAAAACTCGCTTCGCATTTCAGTTATTGGAAGACCGCGTTATAAATAATTATAATGATGCAATGAAAGCACAGCACTAATTATCGACTAGAGATCGAAAGAGCTTTGGAAGAATGATGTGAAATTGTTTCGGCGAATAAGAGGAAGCGGAAACGTCCGATACAATTCGCGAGACAGCTCACATGATAGCGACTGCTGTATCAGAAAGAGCGAGAACCCATGCTAAAAAAAGTTGATGGCCCTCTCTCGATTCCGCGGCCAAGGTTCTCGGTTAGTTGACATACTTGACACGAAAGTGAAGGAAGAAATTGCTACAGTAATTGCCGAGCCGCGTTATATTTGATTTAATGTCGCGCGATCGCGACATTGAATCACTTGTCCGTGATCAAGCGTGTCAAAATATTCATTTGGTTTTTCATTTCGAGCAAAATGCACGAATACTGAAGCAAAAAACAAAGATAATTCGATTTTGTTAAGCTTAATTTTCACGATTATTAAAGCATTTCTTTCAACAAGCGCTGCGAACAAATATATATGTATTAACTTTGCCAATGGCATCACAGGTTCGGAAAAAATGAATTAAAATTGGAGTTACACCGACTTGGATTAAAACAAATATCGATTGCGCAATTGCTCAATCGTTGGAGTTTCTGCTGCAAAACCGGATCCGGATTTAAAAAGGAATTCATTAACGATTGTGGTTAACCGTAAATTCCCGCTTGAAAAACTGTTGTGTCATTATGAGAAACAATTTAATATTTGCATTTCTGTTCTCCGTGAATGAAAACATATCGCAATGATTATCTAACATTTTATTAATATTATACAAAGATGCAAATGATAAATCACATCAAGAGCAATGTATATGTTAAATAAATACATTAAATATAATTTAATAAAAATATAATTTATGATTCCTAAATTTATAAATTTTTTAACTTACTTTCGAAATTCAAACGTGACATGTAAATTTAGAAGTTTGAATGTAAGCTTCAGAATGTAAAAACAACACGCACACAAAACATTCAGTCTTACTTAAAAAAAAAAAGCCTTTTTTATAAATATATGTAATCAATTTCTGTATAATAATGATAATGTATGCATGTAAAGAAAAATGTATTTCGGTGTATTTATTTTCAACCAGAGAAAATTTTAATCAAGACTTTATTAATTATATAGTAACTATACAATGCAATGATTTATGAGTGGAGGTTTAACATAAAGGATTTACTCCATAGCACAAATTAATCAAGTCCTAGAGCACAAAATCTACGTTTCTATATCTGATCACATAATTTCCTCAATTTCCTTAGTATTCTTCAATTACAACAAATCGTTACAAACAGAATGAAATTAATTTTATTCATTCTTCTTTTTGTCATCCAAATTTTTTCTGTATAAGTACAAATATTTGGAGCCATAAAACTCATGAAAATATGGACCTCTGTAATCACGATTGGCACTCATTGCCAAGTTTACGTTTTGTTCAAGAAGCCTAACTTTCCTAACCTGATCCTCGTGGTATACATAATACAGATACTTTTCATATTCCTGTTGTGGCGATGGAAAGATATAGCGTTGAAGGAACCTTTGAATTGGATGCTGAAATAAAAACTCTTTTATATCTTATGATATCTATAAAGATCACTCAAAAATATATTCTAGTCAAAAAATATTTTTCTTCTGCCGAATAAAGATTTTACCTGAAGATACTCCCATTCCTTTGGAACATAACCCTCAGGGATCTCCTCAAGTGTGGCAGGGCCGATGAATACATTAACTAGGGTGATTGTGATGCCCATAGGAATAGCACCGAGTAAGAAGTAAAAGTGAAAATAATCTTTCGTTTTGTGCCACTGAAAGCGACTCGGTTCTATAAGAAACGTGCGGTCTTCCGACATACATCTTTGCCCTGAAAATGTAAGAGTTTAGAAATTTTTGAGAGCTGCATTGCTGCAGAAAAAATGTATTTTAAAAAACCTCTAAAACTCTTGAAAAAACCGTAATGATAAAATTCAGCAATTACAGCTGACTAGTATGACAATCAGCTGTGTAATTACATATCTACTTTTATGGTCAAATGTATGACAATAAAACATGAAATATAACAACATTAATGAGATCATTGATTAGAATTATTTATAATAAAAATATAAATTTGCAATCGATTTTTTATGATGTCATGTGCATGTCAAAATTAGTGTGGTTTCAAAATAAGAAAAAAAATTTGAGAAAAAATAGCCATCAAAATTAGGGATAAATTAAAAATTTAGCGTTTTGTTAGTTATTTCATAACCGCGAGTTTATGTTTATTCAGACTCCGTGACACGAGATACGTCTAAAAGTCGCATTCTAAATGCACTTTGCAGTCATTATGTAACGTAACAAAACATTGTTGTCTTCTTTTGCAGAGAGTCGATAAAATAAGAAGCGCTTGTTTGATGATCGTAATTGCGAGCGATCGCATAGATAATCACCGGTTTTCAACAGTGCCGTTCCAGAACCGCCGTTTGTAACAATTTTTGCCTCGCAGCACGCAAAATGCTACTCCACACCGCCATTTTTCTCCGATAGAACACATATGATTATGATGCTCGAAGTTTAAAAGTTAAATGCCGAAAATGCAGAACGCTTATTTATCGACTGGGAAGAGAAAAGATTACTGTTTTACCATGAAATTCGATAAAGCAGAGTACGTTGATAAAATTTGAATTGGTTGATTTAGATTTTACTGATTAAATTTGATGGTGATGTCGAATAGAGCAAACTCTGACGAAAGCGTTCACACATATGCATATCTAAACATATATAAATATATTTACGTATCATATATACATATATATATATATATATATATATATATATATATATATATATATATATATATATATATATATATATATATATATATATATATATATATATACTATATATATTATATATATATATACTATATATATATATATAATATATATATATATATATATATATATATATATATATATATATATATATACATATACATATATTATTTCAAATATTGTAAATGTATATTGAATAAATTATAAAAATTAATATTATTAATTGGTTTTACTTTAAAAAATGGCAACAAAAAAAAATTTCGACAATAGCATTAATATGGTAAATGAATTAATATTATATATCCTCCTCGAAATCCTACAACTTTTATATGAAATTTCTTTTTTTACGTACTATGATTTCAAGATATTTGACTGTTTAAAATGAAATTGAGCATCTTATTTATGTATATTACATAAAATATATACTACTTTAAAATATTAATTATTGGCGTTAGTTATACATACAATCCAAGTAACATGTACCATTTGTATAAAAATTTAATATCAACAACTGGCGCCAGTAATTGATATAAAATAAAATAATTTCTTGTAATAAGCAAAGTAATATTATTTTGTAAAATATATTCTTTCCATTAAAGTAATACTTTGTAATAACTTTTGTTTTTCTGTTTTTAATTCAATATATAATTATTAATATTTATAATAATTTTTTTATTACATAGCATTTATTATATAACATTTTTTAATTACATAGTTTTTTAAATAATTTATATTTAATATTTATTTAAATATTAATTATGTAAAATATTTATTTTGATTAAATACAGTTCTTTTCAATTAAAATAAATTTCTTGTATTAAGAAAGGGGAGAAATTTCAAATTCAATTATGAATTTATTAAATTGCTTTAAGTTGTTGCGTCGTAAGTCCATTAAAAATTATACATTATGGTATTTTGTGGTATAATGATTATTGATTCCAAGTTTATTATATCGATTCAATAAGAGAAAATATATCAGAATCCTAAAATCGAGTTTGTTGAATTGTTGTCTTCTCTGTTCTGTTATTTAAAATTTAATTCGGCTAAACAATATATTATATTGTATTGTCAATAATGAAATAGTATTAATAGATGTATTGATACAAAATTTATTATAAAAGTAGAATAAGAAGCAAATACTACATAATATTTAAAATTGTTATTATATACAATTATCTAAGAACTCAATTATATAATTATAGAATTATATAAGAAATTTAAATTTGAGGTTTTATTAGCTATTTTTACATGATCTTAAACGTTAATGAACACAGTATTGTTCATAACGTTTAGATTAGATTAATAATTACGTATTGGTATTCACATCATCTTACTATTTACTTAGTGTAGTTTAGGACGACTGATTTCATAAATAAAAATAGTTAGAGTTTGAGATTAATACAAAATTGTTAACTTGACGTGAATTTTATATGTATGTATAAAACATGTACATAAAATTTTATTTTTATACGTATATTATATACATTTTAACATTTATTAAAAAATTTATATATATTTTTTTAATAAATATTAAGATTAAAATACCTTATTTAAGAATAATAAATATTTATTATAATATTAATAATATATTTTAAAGCACATTGATATTGATATTAAAAATTCATTAATTATTCCAAACAATTTAGATCGCTCGTTGGACTCTATAATGATTCTATAATTAGTTACAATGATATAGAAGCGAGAAGCAGGAAAACTAACCTGAATACCGAGTACTTAAATATCTATTTTAAGCACAAACTTGCAAATTTAGATTGCGTTTCAATTCACTATCAGTATTGACAGTCTATGATATATGTGACGTTATATATTTTTATGAATATTATATTTTTATGCGAATATATTTTCAATATATGTGACAATAAATGTAGTCTAAAGCAGCATTAGTTTATTGCCACACAGTTTTTTGTTATTTGAGTAAAAGCTAAAAAAGAACTAATAAGTATTAATAGTAATGGTTATAAGAATTCAAGTGCCTGATTACTTTAGGCTTGCGCATGCTTAATTTTGTTTGGGCCGTAAGAAATAGGTTTTTAAATTTCAAGCATATCCACTGTATCTGCAAAATTCGCATGGGCACATGTTAAGTATATATCTTGTAGAATTATTAACTTTAAAATGTTAAATTGTAACACAATATTAAATAATTATATTATACTATATATATATATAAAATAATATAATATTAAATTGTATATATAATTTTATAGACTATTTAATAATTGATGAATTGATGAATAGCTTGTGCGTAGAACGATTGTATTAAGTAAAGAAGCTTTTTATGATTTCGCGGATTATGCAACTATCAAAGAGTTATTTTTATGTTTACGAATCAGAGTGCATCCGTGGAAAAAGACAGCCTGTTATGACACGCATTTACGATTGCTAGAAATACAACGAGGTATCGGGAGGTGTAATTTACAAATGATAGATTATTCTCTTAAATTATACATATTTTCATACTCTAGAGATACGCACTGGCATTCGTGCTCCTACAAACCTTGAAAGTGCATATTGCTAGATTTTACTACTTCGCATAAGCGCACATATATTCACGATTATTTATTAATTAATAACTTATAAACAAGAGACACTAATGAAAGATTTTTGTACACAAACAAGTGTACCCAAATCGATGTGTCGAGTTAGACAATAAGTAAATTTGCTGCTATTTATTTAATCATTTCAAATATAAAGAACTATAATATCCGCTTAAACTCCAGTCATATTTAGCTGCAAATTTACGTATTTTTCTACACAGTTTTATCCGCTCTACCTGCATACGTCGTACGCTTATAAATAATTATCAAAGATCCTGTATATCCCAAACAGAATAACATAAAAGAAAATATTAATGTTGGCTTATTTTTTATAAATGATACAACTTTTTGATATGTGTATTATTGTTTGTTAAAAACAATAATATACATTCGTAATACACGTATGTACATGATTGAAAGTGAAATGAATAATCTTTTCAATTTTTGCAAAATAAAATTGAAACGTGTTACACTTCACTTTGACAATTAAGTTTTGAGTATATTTCGTTTTCACTAAGATCAAATTAAAAAACACTTTCTATCTAATAATATGTAATGTTATTAAAATTTAATAAAAACCAAAAATTTAATAAGTAATATTGCGTTTTACAGGAGTAAGTTCCTCGAAAGTATAAACATTATTTATGATTATGACTAATGTTGCAATTGTACTAATTTCTCTAGAGAAACAAAATATATAATATTAAAAATAATATAATAAACTTTACTAATTGTATGTAATTAAGATTAAGATATTTTGTTAAAACGATAACACATTACTTAGGTTTGATTTTGTCCTATTTATTTAATAAGTAATAAAATGATGGGCCTGTATGTTTCTAAAGAACAAAATTAAACAGACTAAGGTTTTTAATGACAGAATTTGTTTGTGCATGTCTTAATTGTAATACAATAAAATAATATAAGATATTATAGATTTCAGAGCAAGCTAATATTTCTGAATTTCCGGTTTCAAAAATTTCATTCAAGTAAGAAATTTTGCCAGAAGGAATGTAAGACAAATCATTATAATATGTCCATTTCTTTCACCATGGTAAAAGTTTATCTAAAAAATTTAAATATAAATTTTTAATAAAGGTATAACATATTTTTATGTATTTCTATTTAAAATATATCGAGCTTTGCAGATACTATACAGATACTATGCAGAAATATACTGGAACTTAATACGAATTACGTCTGATTTGCTAAATGCCATTTCAAGTAATGTTTCTTTCTTGCATTTGCTATCACCAAGAATGCATGCCCATTTAGCGGCCTCAAACATTTAGTATAGTAAAATGGTTTTCGTTAATAATTTTGCTTATATCTAATCTTTTCAAATAGCTAATCCAATAATTTGAGTGCTTTATTTGTTAGACATTAACATAAACACTTTGTATAATTTATTTATTCAGAGTTGCTAAGTTGCTAAATTGTAGAAGCGCAGATCTGTAAACGTAATTTCTTAACTACAAGCATTATTTCTCGAAAACTATTTAAATAATTAATTTAATATAAAATGAATGTTTTTAAATGCATTAATGTAAAATACATTTTTATTAATATTATTTTTATCTTGCGCATCATGCGAAATTGGTACGATACATGACATGTGTTTAACATATCTTTAAGCATGGAATACTATACTATATGATCTACTTCTTTCTCTAAGTATTTTGCAAATTCTCAGAATATAAATAACTAGAATTTGCCTGAGGTTACAAAGTAAAATGCGTCATCAATGATTTGAGCATGGTTGGGAATATCTTTGCATAATTCTCAGAATTAAGATAAAGTACAATTCTTAATCAATTTTCCTTGAAATAATTTATAATCCTTGAAATTATTTATATCCTATCACACAATAAATAAATGTTTTTAAGCATTACTCTCTTTGATATCAAATTTAAAATAATATAATCCTAAATATTATTTTCTTAGTTTGAACTATAAATTTAAATTAAATGATAAAAATTCTTTTTATATATAGTAAATTGGTTTATATTACAAATAATAAAAAAATATAAGTTGCTATTTGTGAAATAATATTGAATTTTTGAGTATCATCGGTTATATACTTAACAATCCATACTGCAATATCAAATTTTTTGCAAAATTTATATTTATTTATAAATAATGTAGAAATTGCAAAAAATTAAACTAATGTT